GCGTCTTTTTAGTACGTGTGTGGTCTCTCCCTCCTCCCTCCTCATTTGCATTAGCTGCTGCTTCGGTCCCCGTGAGTGCATTTGTTTCCAAAATAACCCTTTTTCTTCATTAGACACTCTCTGCTGCGCTTAGTTAGCAGCTGCTCTCAATCCAATTAGAAAGCACTGATGGCGCCTGAAAGGAGAGCACTGTGGTACTGTTACATAACAAGTCACTTTTGAGGCAGTGTGTCTTTGCCTGCTCTGATTTTGTATTTATTGAGTAACGCAGTATTGCACTGCGTTTCCAAGAACGACCCACAGGTGAAGGGAATTCCCTGCATCCCCCTGGAATAAACACACGGTCAACTGCAGGAACCTTTGAGTTGAAATCAACACCTATCAGTATGTTTTTGGGTAACACCATGATCAAGTTCTAACAAATTCAGAATCCCATTTTCCTGTGCACTATATTTGTCGCAGACAGGGGGAGTTGTGTGCCCTGCCCGTGGATGTGATTATATCGCTTCAGCTCGTTCCTCAGCTCTGCCTCACTGTGCTCAAGGACACTTTGGGCAGACAGACTCACCGAAAATGCAAATGACTTTAGGTCGGAGGAAACCGCCAATTAAAGAATGACTTCAGAAAAACACTGAGCAGGAGAAGGAAAATTGGCAAATTAGAACTCGTAATACGAGCGGGAACGGCCCAGCGTTGACATATGAACAGGGAACTCTGATTCTCTACTTAACTTTTTTATGTCCAAACTTGTTTTCTCACCACCGGGATAAATCTTGTTGTTAGTGATTGTGCAAAAACTAAATTGTGCTGCCAAACCCGGGATGTAAGAGACACACCAATATAAATAGAATGGCTAGATGGGATTAGAATCTAATGACTGCAGCATGGAACATTCACTGTTCACGGACTCTATTTATTTACTCACTTATTTCTCTAAAGTAAACCCATCTGTTTGTCAAACATTCATGATATCACACCGTGTCCCTCTGTAATGTTGGGCCTGCTCCAAAGCTGTTGATTATTTGAAAAGCTGAACTTTTTTTGTGCAGTATTTGATCATATGGTACTCATTATTCACTGTCAGGCAGTGGTAAACTCTCCATCAGTTGTGCAGACGGGACGGCTTTAGGTTCACACTAGTGGTTAGTTGGCGCTCCGCTGTGCTAATAACTTATGCCGCTGTTTACACCGGCAGTGCTAACAGCTAATGGCAGTGTCGACTTTCGGTGATGAATAAAGTCCTATCCTCTCCTATTTCCAAAACAGACAGCTAATGCTACTTCTGGCTTAAATCAGGTCAGCAGGCAGGCACATCGGAGGGCCAGTTTGACGGACCTTTACTTAGTAATAAGGTTGCTCAAATTATGTATTATTGGACCATATTATTGCGAAAGGTTCCGGGACCTGTGAGAGCTGCAGCAGTGAGTAACAGACTTTTACAAAATAAAAGCACCGGCGAGCAACCGACATTTACAATAAGAAAAAAAAATCTGATTCATGTTAAAGAAATTGTCATCGTTAATTAATTAATGATATAATACGATAATAACGCCTAAGAAAGTTGCCCAGCTGTAATATATAATATACAAAGGTCCCATCAGTTACTCGCTGCTGTCCTGAGTATAATCTCTGGGATTGTTTCAGTTCAGATAGTAACATTCTAAAATAAATTATTCTTTTTTGGATCATTTTTGTTCCAAGACATAGATTGAAATTTATATTCCCGTTTTCTTGATCCCCTTTCGGAAAAATTCCTGTCCAGGCTCAGTGCACGTTCTCAGGGATTAGTGGCTGTGGTGGCAGACTCTCACTTGCAGATGGTCCATCTGGTACAGAAGAGAATTACCTGTGTGCTGTAGTTCCTCTCCTCCGCCTGCCACTTGATTAACCATGCAAACACACAAGTAAACACACAAACACACATTTCCTGGGAGAACATTTGTTTGCTTTCATTTGACGCATTTCGAGGGCCTGGCGGGCACAGATGTCTGCCTTGGCGTTCGGAGCATACCGCCAACTTTGATTGGACCTGATCAGCAGGCGAAGGAGGGGGGGCCTTAAGTTAGAATACAACACAGACCAAGATTTTGTCATGGTCCGTTTTTTTTTTTTTTTACTTCTGTTGTTGAAGAATCTGAGACACCGGCTGTTTCTCTCTTTTGAAAAGTTACAGATGTTGCTCACAATTTTAGCAGAATCTAAAACGGATGACCTTTTGTTTCCTGTACTGGTCCCATCTGTATTGTCCTCTTTTGACATTTGTGTCTGGACACTTGCTGGCTATTTTGAGCAGCCCATACTCTAGGGGAGGGCGATACGGACTAAAAGTAATACCTCAATATTTTTTTTGCGGAATGGCAATACTCGACATGTATACCGATATTTTTTTCTATGACATCATATTAGATTCTTTTTTTTCAAACCCTTTAAAAACAAACAAATTCTTAGAAATAAGTTTAAGCCACATACCACAGGCACGTTTATCAACAGGTCAGATTTTGTAGAATTAGGTGAAATTGTCGTAAAAGGGCAACAGTTGTACAAGGTAGCTATGAAAGTAAATACATTAATATATATATAAATACATATATCAAAGCAGTTCATTTCTTCATATTTCAGTGTTTCAGTGATGAGAGAAAAAATTGGTTTACATTTTAGATTTTTTTTTCGTGCATAAAAAAAAAAATTCCCTGAAATTGCTAATGTATTAATTGACATCATACAAGGAACTCTCAATTATAGAGCCATATAAAAATATTAGTTGGTAAATTTTTAGATAACCAGTGATGTAAATCGTCCCACAATGCATTGGAGTACATACAGAATATACTGAAAGTGATGTGACCTCTGTTTTGAACCAATCACCAAAGTGAACAGTGGGCAGCTTTAAGACTCAAACCTAAAGCCTTGCGGACCCAAGTCTGCTTCCTTAACCACTAAGCCACCGCTGTGTTTTTGTTACAAAAGGAACAGCTATTGTTTTCAAATCCAAAACACTTACCGTATTTTCCAAACTATAAGCCGCACTATTTTTCATCCTTTGGCTGGGTTTGCGACTTGTAGTCCGGTGCGATTTATATATAAAAATGCTTATTTTCCCACTGACAGCCCCTAGAGGGCGCTCTGTTCTAGGAAAACAGCAAAGGGATATATTTCATTAGGAACCTTGAATCTTTTTTTTTTTTTGGCTTTGGGTGCAATAAGAAATTGTCTTTTTTTTTGGTCTCTTATTTGGGGCAAAAAATAGAGTTGAAGTTTTGATCTGTGCTATCTGACCTGATATTTTTCAGAAGTGGAAGTTTACGTGTTTTTTTTCTTCTTCTTTATTTCACATTACAGCCCAATAGTGATCTGTATCCTTTCTTGCTGCAGCTCTGTTGCTAGGCAACAACAGCAGTGAGGGTGGGACAAGGCTGTGACGTGTTAGGGAAATCCTTTATAGACCAGACCATATCAATTAGTGGTCCCTGTTTGGTTCCTATAAACGAGTCAGATCCTAGATACGGACCAAGGTACTATAGAATACACATTTACAGAGATTTTTACTCTTTTTCTAAGCGAGCAAGGAAAAAAAAGACCTTTGACCTTTATGACCTTGAAGTTAAAAAAAGCAATTCGACCACATCATCTACGTGCTGTAACTCAGAACAACTCATATGAACTGGCTGCAGACACTAAGTCACATTAATCACATATTACCTGTTTGTGTTACGTCTCTCTCCGCTCTTGGCTGAGTCTAGCTCGCCCAGACGAGACACTGGTAGCTGTGCATGTGTTTTAGTTGTTTTTTTTTTTTAATAAGGAAGAAGGCGAGACAACAGGCAGAAGGACTGTGTCAACAAGCAGTTTTTGAATCCAGGAGGCGCCTTAGCATAAAATGAGAGCGAACTAGTGGTGAGATGGCAGCTCCCTGTAGCCCATCCTCCCTGTGACAGTGCATCCTTACGCGCTGCCTCTCTGCTCTGTCGTCAGTGCAGCCCCAGCCTCCCACACGCGCACAACTCCTCTCTACTCTGCACCAGAAAGGAGCATCCTCTTCTCTATGCCCTCCCTCTCCTTTCTCTCTCTTTTTTTTTTTTTTTTTTTAACCCCCCCCTCCCTTCCTCCAAATGCAGGTAGTCCCCC